TGTATGTATGTATATATATGCTATTTATGCAGTCTTTTTATTTTTTTTCTTATTTATGTAGGTGAGCATGTCAATTTTTTTATGCATGGGAACGAATGATTATGACTTTAAAATAATAATAATAGTAGTAATAATAAAAATCTGTCTTGTAATAATTAATAAAGTCAAACGTTATACAGCACATAATAATGTATTAGATCTTGTCAATCTATTAAACAAACATTAAGTATATAATTTTGTCTTATGTGTTGATTTTTAAATTTGTCTCCAATTCTTTAAAAATTCGATTCGATGTTTTTTTATGTATCAGAGTTGTTTTTGATAATCATAAGCARAGRTTTTTCTTTAAAGGGAACAAACCTCAATTTGTTAACGTCGAGTTAATTTGCATGTTTAAATTATGAATACTAAAATAATTGTTAATGGGAAAATTCATTTTAAATTTGTATAAATTATTTTGTGTTGAATAATGTGGAGACATTATGTTTTTTTTTTCCCCTTTTGTTACCTCCTTTTAGAAACCGTTCTCAAAATATAAACCAAGTTTTGAGAACTTGTTTTTGTTTTTTAAATCGACTACGAATTCAAATGATTTTATGCCTAAATTTGTAAAAAATTAGAGATAAACTTTTAAAAAGTTAATTATTAGAGAGAAACTATACACTTAGCATTGAACACATGTAYGTTTTGTTTGTGAGAAAATATAATTATTTATATTCAAAAGAGAATTATAGGAGAATGTGTATATATATGTCAATTAAAATATAACATTAAAATATATTGTCCTTTTCTACAAATATATATATTAATGAAAACTCACAAGTTCGTCGTTTCCAAAGTTGGGGTCGTGATTAGGTGTACCATTGAAACACCGTGGCCCACCCTAATTATTAGCATACAAAGTCAAAACCACCCAAAAGACCTCTTTGGCCTCACAAATCCAACATTTACTTTTCTTCCCCAAACGCCATTATTGAGATTTCTCCATCAAATCTCAACTTTATCTTCTCACAATACAAATATTTGAAATAATATATATCTAATATCGCATCTCTCTTCGACCCGAACATAACTGAAGTAGATAAGAAAAAAATTGTTGGATTGAAATATCTCGAATATTCTCTATCTGTCCCTAGCTTACAGTAAAATTATTGTGCTTCGTTCCTATCAGGACAACTTAAAAGCTCTTAGAAGTTCAAAACCAAAAGACAAAGTGTATCGCTCTCACGCTCGTCAGTAAAGTGAATTATTCGCCTTTTATAAGCGAGTTGTACTAATAGACTTGCTTACCGTAACCGCAAAGAAAGAAATAACGGTTGTATTTATTTATCCTTATCCATAACCATAAGGGCTGGAGCGCCTTTCGAACGGTATAAGTTACGACTTCGCTTTCGAAAAGAGAGATTTGACTCTGATCCACCAGCATCCACTAGGTAGGTTGTCCCCTAACAATCTTTATCTCTCTTCTTACTTATGCGAGACTTCTATCATTCTAGAGTTGTATTTGGATTCTCTTACTCGTGAGTGATACATCTGGTCATACGTAACACAAAGTCTTGTTCAAATGGTCAGCTCCGGGGATATAATAACTCGAGATGATCTCAGTATGTTGCTCAGACAAAAAAAATCGATCTCATTCCTCCCAACAACATCAAAATAAGCTAGCCACACCCGGTAGCTCATATCATTCGACAACTCAAAGTGCTCTTATTCAACAGGCAAATTAGAAATGTCAAAAGCAATAGCAAGCCTAGGCACTGCAGTTACTCTATATAACATTGTTACATATAAATTTGTAGATAACTATCTTATCATGTCATACTAATTAACAAGACTATGTATCAAAATCTACAAGACCAACAATACTTTAATGTAGAATTAATATATTTGAGTTCAAGTATTCTTCTCGATAAAACAGAGCACGTCTCGTCTCCCGTACTTTAAATAAGGATGTAAATAATCTTCCTAAAGAACAGTACATGGCATGGTTAGTGTTCGAACATATTTATTGGACCATAAACAGTTTATTATTTGATTTTTTTTTTAGAAAAATAAAAACTTTTGATATTGAATGATAGGGCATTGACAACAAAGGATGATGAGGGGTGATGTTGATTGGAATAAATGCAAGAGTGCTCTCATTTTTTYTGGAGACCACATGGCCATTCATTGATTATTCATTTTCAAAATTGATGTCAACTTTGCCCTTTAGAAAGAACTTCTTCATCTTAAAGTTAATGCTTGGAACCACCTAGTTGATTTGCATTAATATCTAAAACCACAAAATGATGTAACAATTTTTTTTTTTTTGAGGTCAATATTCAATTTTATGATATCAAGAAATGAATATTTGTGTACATTGAAAAACAAAAAATAATTAAGTTTATTATGAAATATAGCATGTTATATCTTTTTATCCTTTCATGCATTGGAACTTGTAGAATCCAATGAAGTCGTTCAAATATATTTTGGTTATATTAAAAGTTATAGGACAATAAAAAAATTGGTTTGAATTATTAGAGAAAATATTTTTTTTACTGCTTAAAAGGGTTATTTTAAACTAAAAAAACATGTCAACGTAAGCACAATTAAATAATTAAGGTATCTCTATTCCCTTTAGGAGTTCGTAAATTCACATAACTTCCTTCATTTATAATATAATATTCTAAAAGAGAGATTTGAGCCTCCAACATTTTTTTTAATTCAATAATTGCAAACATGGTAAGAAGTATATTGAACTATACTCGAGTTGACTTTTAATATAASTTATTCAAAGCTATTGATTTTGAGGGATAATTTTATATTCCCACTATATATAATTTTTGAAGAGATACTATCTTGGTAGGCCTGTTTTAGAAACTTATTTACATAAATATCTAAATCTCTATAAATTTACACTGGTAAGATTTTAATTTAATTCCGTATTTACCCCTATTTATTGCATTTTCATTTATTAATGAATTTGAATTTTTTTAAATATTAAATTGTTATTTCCATAAATTAAAATCACAATCATTTAATAAATGTGGGCCCCGGASATATTATCTCAATTCAAATTCCTTAATTCTCTCCTCCAAATCCCTCAAATAAAATTTATTCAATTTTTTAAAAATTCGTTCACTCCCCTTGGAAGCCGCTTTCGATGGCGAGGCCGATAAATTGATATTACTCCCCTTGTTTCTCGTTTTTTTCTTCCATTTTTTCTTCTTCGTTCACCGCCCACGGATTTTCTTCTTCGTTCATTTTTTTTCTTCCATTTTTTCTTCTTCGCTACGGTGCTATGAGCAGTTTCCCTTCGATTTCTRCTATGGTCCACGGTGCTACAATGTTTCAAAATGGTAATCTAAATTTTCTGCACTACTCTCACATTCGAACTTGTTCAAAAAAAAATCAATATGCTGTTTGCACGCCACTGCCAAGAGAAACAATCCTAGTTCAAGGCCAAAAAAGTTCTATAGACATGGTATAAAGTATAACATATTGAATATATAATATATCCGATATAACATAGACTACACATCATGAGATATAAAATTTATCCATTTGTATTGATGTAAATCCTTAACGGTATATATCCAATAGATTTTTAACTTTAAATCACCATYCGTATATATCGAGATACATAAATCTTGATATATAATATATATCCTTATCTAAACACTATATATCCCCACACATACGTTACTCAGAACAAACGAATAATATAGAAAAATATATTCGTATATATTCGTATATACCAATGTAATACCGAAGTTCCTATGTAAAATTCAGATATATTATATATCCTAATACATTTTCCATGGAAATTGTTCCTTCGGTATCACTATATTATATATACTCAAATATACACTATTATAAAGGATAATAGCATATAGGAATAGATAATGGAAACAGAGAGCAACATATTCTGTCAAAAAAAGAAACCTAAATTGAGCATATACAATAAGAAATATATACCTCGATTCTGTGCAAAATTGAAACGATGTTGACCTATAAATGCGACRGAGGCGGCCGGAGATGAGAAGCTTGGGTACGTAGCTGGTGACGGAGACGTAGCCGGTGACAAAAAAAAAGGAAGATGTTGCCCTATAAATGCGACGGAGACGTAGCCGGTGTCGAGTTGCCCTATAAATGCGACGTAAGCCGCCGAAGATAACGTTGATGAGAACCTTGAAGATGAGAAGTCTTCTGAAGCAACCGGCGGAGATGACGGGCAAGTCTTCTGATGGTTGGGTTTCAGTCGAAGCGGTGAAGATGGAGATGAAGAGGTTATGAAAATTTGTTTTCTAAAAATAGTGGGTTACGAAATTGTRGATTCTAAAAATCTRAATTAGMTTAATTTTAGGGATTTGGTATATTTTAAYAAGTATTTACCAATTTCATATATTATTAATCATTTAATATTGAGATGGATATATTAGTAATTTCTATTATGGGTACCATCAATTTTGGKAATTATGTTAGACAAAAATGTAAATTCTTTAACTAATTAGGTCTCCTA